CGTGCATTTGTGAGACAGGTGGCAGCACCACTGAGCTAAATCCTTGGCATGGGTTCTATGGTAAGTTGGAAAAGTAGAGAGTTGGGAGTGGGAATTTGATTGTACAGAAAGAAAAGGACTTGAACTTTTAATGTATTTTTTTTTCTAGTGGAAATCTGCTCACTCCAGGGACACAGGTAGTTACGCAGAATGAAGTAAAGAGGATACTTTGCACATCTGTGTGCTCACTGGGCTGTGATCCTGCTCCTATGGCCGTGGCCTGTAGAAATAGGTGTATTATGGGGTGGGCTGTGAGGGAAGGATGTAGTCTGTTATAAATTATGAGAAACTGACTTAAGGATATCTTTGCAAGCAACTTTCCTGAAATTTGACCACCTTGATATGGTGACCACCAAGCATAAATCATACTTGTAGTGCACACCCATAATCCCAGATACTTGAGAAGCTGAGGCAGGAAGATCACAAGGTAAAGGCCAGCTTGGGCAGCTTACCAAGAACTCTGTGTGAAAAATAAAAAAGGCAGAGATGCATCATTACCAGCAATAAAGCACTTGCCTAAAATGTGCAAAGCCCTGAATTCAGTCCATGGTACCACAGGAAAACAGCCATGTTTCTGTGTTCCTCTCTGCTGCTCAGTACCCATTTGCTTAGTAGGGTTTGGAATGTGAAAGATTGAGTCTGGACCCAGCTGTTTACAGAGCCTAGAATGCAGTGTGCGCACAATTCATCATTTATTATTTAGCAGATGTTTAACTTGCCACTGTGCCAGGCTCTGCTTTATGTGCTGGAGAAGTAGCACTTAAAATGAGAGTCCCAGCATCATGGCCTTTATGTTCTAGCAGAGGGAAACAAACTAAAGGAATGGATGATGATAGAGCAGAGGGTGAGAGTGGGGTGTTGCAAGGGAAGGTGGGATAGAGGAGGGAGGGAGCTGTGCTTTCGGCTGGGGAATGCATGTGAAGGGCCCAGTCTGCAGGACCCTGGCTGATGTGCTTGGGAGTGGGTTGCCGAGTGATGGGAGCCGAGTGAGCGAGGGACAGGCATGGATGATGTGGACTGAGAGAGGGGTCCACACAGCCCATCACGGCCTAGAGGAGGGCTGAACAGCAGGTGCGGTAGCTGACCAAAGCCTTGGTTGATTTCCCACTGATTTTCTCAGTTGACATTCCAAAGGTCTAATTTTTATATCCATCAACAGAATATCAAAGGCTCTGTTAACTTATACCTTCTAAACACAGTACTGTTAAACTGAATTTTTACCTGATACATGAAAGTAGTGTTTATTTTAATTTGCATTAATTTTGAAGTTAGGTTCACTATACTTTCCTATGACCTGCCTTTTTGTGTTCTTTGTCCTTTGAACGTTTTATCTCTTTTATTAGTTTTCTAGAGCATCTTTTTGTTTTTGTTTGGTTTTGGTACTGGGGATTGGACTCAGGGCCTTGCACTTGCCAGGCAGGCATGGTGCCATTGAGCTAAATCCGAAGCCTCCTGAGCATCTTTCTGTTTTAACGCCATGCAGTTATTTTCCCACTATGTTTCAACTTTGTTTATGATATGTTCTTTTGACAGAGGTTTGAAAGGTTTATGTAGTTAAATTATCTGTTCTTTTATGTCCTCTAAGTCTGGGATCACCCTTAGAACAGCCTATTCTAAGATAGATAAGTACATAGGTAGGTGGGTAGAGTGATAGCACTGTTTTTTCCTACAACTTTGGTAGCTTTTGTTTGTTTGTTTTAGTATTTATTCCATCTGAAATTTATTTTAGTGTAAAGAGTGATGTGTAGGGAGCCAGATTTTCTTTTTCCAGTTGACTGGAGGTTGTCTCAGCCCTGCTTATCCTTACGGACATGAACTTCTACCTTGATTTATCTCATTTGAGGTAGCACCCATTTGTATTTTTTAAAATAATCTAATCACAGTTATTTTGTCTTTTAATGGCAAGAAGAGTTGGTAAACCTGTATTAATTTGAGTGTTTTCTGTTGCCTTTGTATCTTCAGGAAGATTATATCCAATTTAGAGTATTAGAGTTATGAAGAAGGCTGGGAATGGGGAAAGGGAAAAGTTAATGAGACCTATGCTGTTCCTGGCTGCGATGACCTGGGTGAGGACAGTTTAGAACTCTAATTGCGGTTTAAAGCTGAGTAGGTGAAGGACACAAAGCTGTCAGTAAACAAGGTAGATGTGTATGTTGGTGTCGTATGCTAGGATAATAAAATGTTAGCTGACATGGAACACAGAAATTTGCCAACTGTGACAGAGAAACAATATTAGAAAATTTTGGAAAAGGGAAAGAGATTAGTGGGGGGTAGAATAGCGGGGCTCAGGAGAATAGCTACTTCACTGGTTGTATTTCTACTATATTTTTGTCTTGAATCTTCTCTAGACTACTTACCTTAGTCTGAGGTTTTAGTCTATTAAAATGCTTGCGATTCTGGGCCCCTTTATATGAAATAAAATCTTAGGAAATTCAAATATGTCTGTGTGGTTGCTACATTTACTAATATGATTATTTTAGCTGCTACATAAATAGCCCTGCTAGCACTAAACGAGTTCATTCACAACAGGTCTTGACTTGTAGTATGTGTTTAACACAAACTTAGGCCTCACTGATTCATTGGCACGATTGGGACCAGAATCTAGGTCTCACATTTGAGCTTAGTGGTCTTAGTTATACTCTTTCGTAATGGAAATAGAAAACATGGCAGAGTCTTCTTTGTATGGTGTACCTACATGGGGCACATCCCCAGGGTTTGACCTTAATTCCTCAGAGTTTCCATTATAGGACTGGCTGGACAATGGCCCAGAACAAGCTATTCAACAAGATCCTCAAAGCCCTGCAGTCTGACCGGCTTGCCCGCTTGGCCAATGAAGGGGTAAGACACTAGAATCTGCCCGCATGGGCTCTTCCTCATCCAGCCTCAGCGGCTGACTGATTTATGCCCCCCACGGGGAACTTTTTTCTTCCTTCCCTTTGCTCCTTTCAGGCTTGTAATGAGCCAGTGCTGCGCCGTGTTGCCGTGGACAAGTGTGCAAGGAGGGTGCGGCAGGCGCTGGCAAGTGTGAGCTGGGACACCAAGCTGACCCAGTGGCTGCACACCACCCTCGTGGAGACCCTGAGTCTGCCCATGCTGGCTGCCTATCTGGATGCTCTGCAGACGCTGAAAGGGAAGGTAAGGCTGTGCTTGGCGGCGGGCAGCCAGCCTCTCCTGTGGGTTTGGGTAAGGTCATTACCTGGTCAGCTGGGAGGGCAGACCCGAAGTTAACAGGTTTGCCACTGAAAATAGGAAACAGGATTTTGTGTTTGTGTTTGGCATCAGTGTCTGCGGCCCTGTCAGCCGCAGCGTACACACTTACCCTCTGCAGCCTTGTGGCTCGTGGTTTAGGTCTTTGTGAACTTGAAACATCATGGAGGAGATGAAAGGTTCAACAGAACAGAGTGCCACTTGGAGGGCCAGGTGACTATAGAGCCAGAAGCTGCTGTGTGTGGAGCCTTAGGTAGCAGTGTTTGGATGGCAGTACTTACTACAGATGTGTTATGACATGCCCCTGCTTGCTGACTGAGACAGCACTGCACAGGGTTGAAGTAGTTTTCTTGGAGATGCCAGCTTTTGTGCAGTCACTGACCACGTTGGGCTGTCCTCAGTGTAGTGGAGAGCAGGCTCTGCTGCTGACCCATGGTGTACACTCAGAAGAGTGGCTGGATTTCCTCATCTCCTAAGTGGCGTCTCAGAATACCTGTGTACGATCCCTAGGAGGATGGAGAGGGTGAATCAAAGTAGAGTGCTTGGCACAAAATGTCACGTAGAATAAGCCTGTAGTAACTTAGGGATTAAGTAGTATCCTCATAGCTTCATGAAATGTGGATGTGTTTTGTTCCAATACAAAAAAACGCCTCAGGCAACCTGAAGTAATTCAATTCCTGACTTTTTTTTAACTTTTCTTTTGTAATACTAGGGATTAAACCCAAGGCCTGCCAGGAAAATGCTAACCCCCAGTGTGTCTGTCCTCTCACTGTCCAGTTTTTCTTTTTGTTGCAGGCCACTGGCCCATCTGACTGCTATAAGCCTCCCTCCAGCCGTATCTCCAAAACTTTCAGGCTCTATTTCTTAACCTGTTTTTAAGTTGCAGGATGATGTGTTTGCTAGAAAGCTAAAGAAGTCCCTTTTAGTGCTGAAATAGAACTTTGGACTAGATACATTAATGTGATAGGGAGTTTGACCTTACATTTTTCATTCGGCTAATATTTATTTTGTGCTAACAATACCTCAGACCCAGGGGTGAATAAAATAACTGTTCCTGCTCTGCTGAAGCTCATTTTCCAGTGGAGACCAAGACAGATGAGAACCCCAGGGTTTCCCACATCAAGTACCCCAGCCTGGGATGAGTGGTGGCAGGCTTGGGCATAGGCAAGGCAGTGTGGGGACAGGGAGAGCTCGTGGCAGAGAATGGTGGCCTGTGAGTGTTTGGAGCATCTGTACATCTGTTCTCTGTATCACTGTCCCTGCACTAATGGCACAGCCTTGGTGCACTTGTTCTAGGGACTAACTGGTGTACCCAACTCTTAGGTGGCTCTGCCTTGCTTGCTATGGCCAGCAGGATTTCGATATGATTCGCCTTGTTTGTAAAGACAATCTTCACTGCTTTATCATATAAATTATGGCTGGGCATGTCTCCTGTAAATGAGGTAGCATCTTTGGTGACCTCCAGGTGTGCACAGTGGGGGCTGCGTGGCCTTGCTACTGGAGCACAGTACAGGCCAGCTGGAACGGAGTGTGTTCCACTGGGCGCCTTCGCCTGGTCTCAGACCAGGGTGCTGTCCACTCTGGGCTATGCTTTCCATATCATTACTCTGACACTGCAACTGTTTAGAGTCACAGATGTTTTGGTTTTTCACAAAGGGTATGAATGATTGTGGGATTATTTTGCATTTTGTGTGTGTGTGAAGGTCTCACTTTGTAATTCAGACTGGCCCAGAACTTACTGTGTAGCCTCGAATCTATGGCAGCCTTCCTGCCTCGGCCTCCCAAGTGCTGGGATTACTAGCGTGTGTACCACCACACCCAGCACACTTTCTTTTTTCTTTCAGTACTGGGGATTGAACACAAGACTTTGCACTTGCCAGTCAGGTGTGGCACCACTGAGCTGCATCCCTGGCCCCTATTTTGCTTTTAAAGTACCTACTGGATGTTAGATGCAGCTAGATGTGATCATGCCATTGGCCTAGCTGCTTTCACTATGAGCTTCATTATAAATAGAGTAGAGACCACACATATCCAGCTCTGAATTGTGTGTTGAAAGTGAATATAGCACTGGAAAGGCCAGCACCAAGCACCAAGAGGAAAAGTCAGTTATTGATTAATCTATATTGACAGTGAGTTTCAAGGCTCTTTGGTTTCATATATATACTCAACTGCCAGTTAAAGGTTTTTAAGCCAATAATTCTGTGCAGTTTCACTGCCTTAAAAGTGTTAAAGAACTCACAATTAGGGAGTTACAGAGAACGGCCAGGTTGGAGTAGAGATTTGTTTGCAGTTTGGCTGTAGCCTTTGTTATCAGTTTTGCCTCCTGCTTCCTTGTTCACATCTTCAACTTCAGTCTGACTGTGTCTGGAATAAGCCTCAGACACTGTCATCTCTTGCCTGTCTCTCTCATCTGCTATTGGCATCCTGCCCGTTCTAAAGAGGCTTTCAAGTGCTTTGTCTTCAGATGAGAATTGCCTGGTAAACTCCCCTTCTCCATTGGGTGGTTCATCAGCAGTGGGGGGCTTCTGTTTCTCCAGTGTTAACTTGTGTGTTTGTCTTCTTCACTCCTTGTAGATGCAGTTCTTCTGGTGCCTTGTGACAGGAGCTGTTGCATTGACATTCATTCCTTAATTTCTCATACGGAACTTTTTTTTTTAGCCCCCCTCCACCTTTGTGGTGCTAGGAGTTGAGCCAGGTTGAACTGAGTGCCTTGGGCATGCTAGGCAAGCTAGGCAAGCACTCTGTCACTGAACTACACCTCCAGCCCCTAGTCTTTTTAAATTAGGAACAATTTACCTGCTGCTATCTTTGAAGTTTTACCTTTTCTTTCCCTTGGCCTTTTGTGGGTAGTATAGAATTCACAGAAGTACTTCTTTGTAGTGTAAGCATCAGCATACCTGAAATCTGCATTTATATATCTGTGAGTTCACGTTTTGAGGGATGGTAAAAAAACAGGATATAGTATAAATCACAATATTCACAGTACAGTGGTGTATATTTTTTGGATACAACAGGTACATGAACATGCCACAGCTTGAAGGCTGTATTCCAGAAGACAGTGCAGTTTTTTTAAAATTTATAAAATCAACTGATGTATGAGAAATCTATAGAAGAAAATGTCACCCTTAATTCCATAGAGATCATTATATAAACATTTTAGCATATTGTCTTCCAGCCCTATTTTTGAGTGCAGATGGTTTTTCTGTTCTATTTTAACATTTATTCAGCAAACATTTCTTTTCTTGTTACTGTTTTTTTGAAACAGGGTCTCACTATGTAGTCCAGGCTGGCCTTGAATTTTTCTATGTAGCCAAGGGTGGCCTTGAACTCGTGGTGATCCTCCTTCCTCAGCCTCCTGAGTGCTAGGATTACAAGCATGCGCCATCACACCTGGTTAAAATTATTTCTATATGTTATGAAAATTCTTATAAATGTTTGAAGATATCCAAAAAGATAGATAATTTACTTCTCCCTTACATATACATTCATATTGTTTCTAGTTCTTTATTATTGCTGCCAGTGAATTTGTGCATAACTTTCCTCACCTTTGTGCATGTATTTCTGATATATTTTCTTAGAGAAGTTTCTTGAAAGTGGAATTGTTTGGATAGGGGAGGGAACAAGCTTATGTCCTTGCCACCTGTCACCAGATTCCACCTCTGCTCCCTGGGAGGCTGTGGGAGGCCTCGGCAGAGCCTGTTCTCCTGCTGACTACTGGTGCATGGGCCGGAAGCATCTATCTCCTCCTCCCCTCTAGATCCCAACCTTGATTGACCGGATGCTTGTGTCGTCCAACACAAAGACTGGGGCTGCAGGTGTGGAGGCCTTGTCTCTCCTCCTGAAGAGGCCGTGGGATCCTGCTGTGGGTGTCCTTTCTCATAACAAACCAGTAAGTTGGATGGCTTGGGCTTAACGGTGACACATGAGATGGTTACACTAAAGTTTGGAACCCCAGTGAGAGGATGATAAATGGCTTACATAGCTCTTTTCACTAATAAGTTGTTCTTGTTTGCTTGTTTGTTTTTGTTTTTGTTTAATGATACTGCAGATTGAACCCAGGGAGCACTGAGCTATAGTCCCATACCCCATACTTTAAAAAATTTTTTTTGAGACAGGGTCTTGCTAAGTTGCCTAGGTTGCCCAGTCTCCCAAGTAGCTGGGATTTCAGGCAAGTGCTGCCGTGCCTGGCAAAATTTTTTTTTTTTTGAGACAGGGTCTCACTATGTAGTTGAGAATGACCTGGAACTCACTATGTAGCCCAGGCTGGTCTTGATCTCACAGCAATCCTCCTGCCTCAGCCTCCCGAGTGCTGGGATTACAGGCATGCACCACCACACTCGGCTTAATAATTTGTTGTTTATAGAGCTTCACATAGCTTCATAGCAGAGGAGCATTGATGGGGTGCTGGGCACTTCCCCCTCAATGGCTCTTAGGTGGTATTCTCTCTCCTCAGAGCAAACTCCCAGGCTCCCCTCTGATTCTCATCGCCTCCTCCGGTCCCTCCAGCTCCGTGTTCCCCACCTCACGCCGCCACCGCTTCTGGCAGTCTCAGCTCTCCTGCTTAGGCAAGGTATGTGTAGGCCTCCAGGAAACTCTGGAACCCGGGAAGAGTCAGATAGGTGAACTCAGGTGTGGAGCAAACCCCTCACCCTTTTTATTTGCATCTGAATGGTGCTTATCCAGGGTTGCAGAGCTGGGTAGGTCAGGCAGAACTGAAGATTCGAGGCTCACCACTACTGGCTGGGTGCCCTTCTTTCCTGTAGGTCATCCCTGTGGCCACCCATCTGCTGAACAGTGGCAGTGGGGTGGGCGTTCTGCAGTGTCTGGAGCACATGATTGGGACAGTGAGGAGCAAAGTGCTAGAGGTGAGGACACCCTGGTTAGAACCCCAGGCTGTGCCTGGTATTCTGGGCCTTGTCTGTCCCCGTCTGGGGCCTCCTGTCTTAACTGTGTTCTTTCTTTTTCCCAAAAGATTCACAGTCACTTTCCACACAAACCTGTTATCTTGATTGGCTGGAACACAGGAGCTTTAGTGGCCTGTCATGTAAGTAATTTCCTTCTTATTTGGAGGGTACTGCAGAATTGGAAATTGTCTTAGGATGTAATGCTACCATTGCTGCCGATCGCTGCCAGGGAGCCCTTTACTGTTGTAATTTGAGCTGTGCAGGATAAGCTTTAGTTTTTTATTTTTGAAAAAAAAAATTTCATAACAAAATAAGAATAACAATAGTCTATACATTGTGTATCATAATATTAAAAGCTTTAGTTTGTAAAAATCATTATAGAAAATTATAAGCAGAAACAAAAGCAGGGAAGTAAACTCTTGAGCCTCTCTCTCACTTAGCTGTCACAGTGATCAGCTCGCAGCCAGGCTTGTTTTGTCTTACCCCTGCTCAGTTTCTTTCTCCCCTAGGTTCTGTTCTGTTCTTTTCTGAGACAGGCTGTCACTATATAGTCTAGGCTGGCCTGGCCTTGAACTCTCTTTTTTTTTTTTTTTTTTTTTTGGTACCAGGGATTGAACTCAAGACCTTGTGCTTGTGAGGCAGGTGGTGGCACTACTGAACTAAATCCCCGGCCCAGGCCTTGAACTCTTGACTTTCTTGTGTCAGCCTCCCAAGTGCTGAGATTAAAGGCATGCTCCCAGTTTTACAGGTTATTTTGAAGAATGTTTGAAATGCCATATTGTTCCATTTATATATGTCTGCATACATCAGTACCACTATTCTCTGCCTTATTAATAATTCCAGCAGGCCCAAATTAATAGCTCTGAAATTTGATGTTGTGTTCATGTTTGGTCCCTTTATAAGAGTGGACTTGTTCTCTATTATATCTTACCTTATATCTGCTAGTCAAAGTATCTTTGACATGTCCAGAGCCCAGTTCTTCTACCAGATATGGTATCTAAAATGGTGAGCTGGTTGTGGTAGCACACACCACTTGGGTAGTCCCAGCACTTGGGAGGCTGAGGCAGGAGGATTGCTGTGAGTTTGAGACCAGCATGGGCTACATAGTGAGTTCCAGGTCAGTCTCAACTACATAGTGAGACCCTGTCTCAATCCCCAACAAAAAAAAATAAATCTGTAACTCCCTATACATGCCCAGGGACAGCAGAACTCCATCACCAACTGTTCTGAGACATCTGAGATGTCTAGGAGCTATCCCAAAGCCCAGCAGAGGGAGATTTTCTGCACTTAAAGGAGAATGGCAACATTTATGTTTTCTTTTTTGTTTTCTGTGGCACTGGGATTGAACCAAGGGTCTGTGTACCACTGAGCTGCATCTCCAGCTCAGCACTGTATGTGTTCTCTTGATTTATCTTAGTATTGAGAGAGACAGAGCAAGACCACTCTAGTCTAGGGGTCCATGGGGTGAAGTATTAAACCTTCCATCCTGTGTTTCAGCATCTGCAGCAGTCCTTTCAGCACCCCCAGCTGAAAGGCTGAGTAGTGACCACTTATGGGATAGGTCATCTTGTGTTCCGTGATCTTCCTGCTGCCTCCATGGCTAACTCCCCTGGGTTCAGGACAGGGGCAGAGAAGGTGGGACTGGCTGGCGGATCTGAACCATATCTGGATTCCAGGCAGGCTGAGGTGCCATTATTCACAGGTGTCGGTGATGGAGTATGTCACAGCTATCGTCTGCCTTGGGTTTCCTCTCCTTACAGTGGACGGCCCTCGAGGGGTAAGAGTGAGGTGAAGCTGAGTGCTGTGCTGGGGCAGTGGGAGTGGGGGGACAATGCCCTGGCTGGGGTCTGCAGTCTGTGAGGGTGAGCTGGCTGAACCTAAAACCTGCCCCTGTCTCAGGATGTAGATGATCCCCTCTTGGACATGAAGACTCCAGTCCTCTTTGTCATTGGTCAGAACTCCCTGCAGTGTCATCCTGAAGCCATGGAGGACTTCCGGGAAAAGCTTCGCGCCGAGAACAGCTTGGTGGTGGTTGGGGGAGCTGACGATAACCTCAGGTGGGCAGTCCCTGGAGCAGCATAGGGCAGCAGTGTTAGAAGAGCGCCAAGAGGGGCAGTGTAACTATACCATCTGGTGCAGTTAAGAGTGGGCATTAAAATTTTTTTAAAATTTAATTAATTTCAGATTTATAAAAAATAAAATTAGGTACCCTTCATCTAGATTTCTTAAGTGTTGACATCTCATATAACTGAAGTACAATTCCCAGAACAGGAGATTAACACTGCTGTGACAGCATCATCTTATCTACAGACTTGGATTTCAGTCATTGTCTCCCTACTGTCCTTTTTCTGACCCTGCTCCAACCCAGGATCACACATTGTGCCTCCTTAGCTCATCTCCATAGTCTCCTTTAACCTGATACAGTCCCACAGTCTGGCTTTGACTTTCATGACTTTGACATTTTGAAGACTACTGGCCAGTGCTTTGTAGGCTGTCCTTCATTTTAAGTTTGTGACACTTATTCTGATTACATCCAAGACAAGCCTTTTTGGCTAGAACTAGGCAGTGTGCTGCTGGGTGCCTCTCATCGGGATACCTGCTCCTGAGCATGATGGTAACTTTGACCACATGGCTAAGAGAGCTGCTGCCAGGTTCTCCACTGTGAAATTACTGTTTTTCTCTGTGTAATTAGTATCTGTCTTGTGGGTAGAAGATACTTGGGAGACTTTGTAAATATACTCTTTGTCTACTTTTACTGGGGCCAGCAATTTTAAAAAGTTTTATTCCTTAGGATGAATGTGAACAAGGTGTCATTTGTATGACGCTCCTGTGGTGTCTCTCGGAGTGTGAATGCAGGAGGCACTATAGGAAGACAGCTTTGCTCCCTGAAACAGCCACTCAGCCCACAGTGCTGGACATGTGGGCCTGGAATGGGGTTTTCATGAAATGTGCCCAAAACGAGGTTGTGACATTTATTTGGCCTCCTGTTTCTATATACTCAATCTTACAGATTAATTTTTGCTGTATGTTTAACTAGAGTTTAAAGCAAGTGCCTGCTCCTGTCTTTCCAGTCTGCTACACAGGTGTTTTGGAGAAATCTTCCTTACTTTGGTTATTCACCAGCTTCTTGTTGAATTTCATGCCTAGTCTTTTGTTCTCACTGCCATGTTTTCATGTAAACACATTGTTTTTCTTAGTAATTCAGACATTCTTATCTACAAGAGAAGAGTGTGTGTTGCCCTGAGGGAGATGGGGAGATAGGAATGCTGCTGTCACTACAAGGCTGGTTAGGAGATATATTTGTGTGCTATAAGAGCATTGGACAATTGAGAGACCTCAGTTAGTCTTGACCTCTTTGCTTAGAAACTTGGATAAACTGCTTAACTTAGATAACTCTGTGTGCTTATCTGAAAAATACTAGATAGCTTTTTTTTTTGAGGTGGGGTTTGCCTTTGTAGTGCAGGCTGCTCTTGAGCTCTCTATGTAGCCCAGGCTGGCCTCGAACTCTCTCATAGTGATTCTCCTGCCTCAGCCTCCAGAGTGCTGGGATTATAGGTGTGCACCACCATGTCCAGCATTACTAGATATCTTATACAAGATAGGGGACCAGTCAATTGGGGATCAAAATTCAGAGATTCAGTAATGTTGTTCCCTCTCCATAACATGGAGACCTTGTCTTTCTTTGCCAAGACCCCCAGCCAGAAGTGAGTATTCAGGCTTTTAAAGAAGGGGATGTAACTGTCTGTGGTCATTTTTTTGTATCCCTTTAAAACTAACCTGTGAGCCTTGGTGTCTCTTTCTCCTACCTAACCCATTAACCTTGGAGTGGATGGCAGGCTGTTTTGGGGGAACTCTCAGTGAGGACCTAGGAGTCCATATGCACTTTACCTGTTAAGCCCAGGGTATGGAACTACTAGAGTAGACAGTCTCCCTGCCACTGTGCTTGTTTTTTTATATAGGCTGTTGTTTTGGTTTTTAGTTTTTTGTTTTTTTCAGACAGGGCCTCGCCGTGTAGTTCAGGCTGGTTTTGAACTCACTATGTAGCCCAGGCTGACCTCAAGCTTGTGGGGATCCTCTTGCCTCAGCCTTCCAAGTGCTGGGATTACAGGCATGTGCCAGCACACCCAGCTGTATAGGCTTTTTTTTTTTTTAATCCCTACCACTCCCTAAATAAGGTATTATGCTTCTGCTTTTTGCAGATGTGAAAATAGACTCAGAAAGGTTACATCACCTGCCCGAGGCTAACATAACCTTCCTCCCCAGGCCTCAGTCCTATAAAGCAACAGGGAAGGCAAATCTGTTCTTACTTCTACAGGATGCCATGGACTTCTGTGTTGAAAAAAATAAACATTTTCTCCTTTTGTCTCTCAGAATAAGCAAAGCAAAAAAGAAATCAGAAGGGTTGACTCAAAGCATGGTGGACAGATGTATTCAGGTACATAGTCGTCTTTTGTCTTTCTCAGCTAGACCCTCCTTCCTCTGCCTTTGAGGTTTGGGCTTGTTGACAGCAGCCTCAGTGGCTCTGGAGGTTGAGGGGATACCCACTGGGTCTCCCATGTCCTGAATTATGAGCAAAGCAAGGGAAAAGAGGGAGAAAAGAAGCAAAGAGAGTGGTGAGCTGAGTTGAAAGGGTCTCCATTGGGTGAGCCCTGCACGTCCTCTCCATAGCACCCCTTGTGGCCACCACTGGCCAGAGCCGAGTGGAGTCACACTTAAAGCGTTTGGGTGCTTCCTGTTCACCAGAGTTGAGCTCAACAGCTTTGGCTCCTCTGACACTAGGATGAAATTGTGGACTTCCTGACTGGAGTGCTCACTCGCACCGAGGGCCATGTGGTTTCGGATCCTCGGGACCAGGACGCTGAAAAGAAGAAGAAGCCCCGTGATGTGTCCCGCAGAGACCTGGCCTTTGACATCCCTGAGCGGGGCAGTCGGCCTGCTTCCCCCGCTGCCAAGCTGCCCGCCTCACCCTCAGGCTCAGAGGTAAGGCAGTCTAGGAGGGACTTTGGCCAGGGAATGAGGACCACATGTGCCTCCTTTGCTTCCCAGGGCTGCCTGTGAGTTCCCACAAGGGGAGTGCTGGAGGACATGCTAATGTTGGTGGCCCAAGTGATAACTGGCTCATCTCTTGGCTTCTCTCTCTATTCAGGATCTCTCTAGTGTGTCGAGCAGCCCCACCTCCAGTCCCAAGACCAAAGTGACCACAGTGACCTCAGCCCAGAAGTCCAGTCAAATTGGAAGCTCTCAGCTGCTGAAGAGACATATGCAGAGGACAGAAGCTGTGCTAACCCACAAACAAGCCCAAGGTACAGGCTCCCAGCCTGGCTGTCCTCATGGCTTCTGCTTCTGCAGTTGGTGTCATGTAGGAGTCGGGAAGTGTTTGATCTGTAGCTTTCTCCAGGAGATATGAAAGACACCCTTTGCCACATTCCTGTCCAGGCAAAATTAGGTTGAAATGAATCCCAGGGGTTATGCCTTATAGGGCTTTATGATCCTCAGTTAGAGCTTTCCTTGTGCAGAGAAAGTTGGATATGTGAGCTGACTACATGCTTTGGCTCTTCTCTGACACAGTGGGGAGCTACATCTTCATCTGCTTTAGCTCTGCCAGCTTTGCCTGCAGTCAGGGAGCTCTCCAGGTCATACCTGCGGGTGACAGGCTTTAATTCACCAGATTCTAGGATGTCTCACCCAATATTGGTATCATGTCCTTGTTTTACCCTTGAAGAATTAAGCTTCCCATGGTAGGTCAGAGACTCAAGTTGCCCAAGGTTGTCTGCACCTAGGTTTTAGATGAAACTGGAAATATTTGCATGGTGGGAATTAGTTTGGAGCACTGCAAGTGCTTCATGAGGGCTGTAGATATGGGAGGGTCTGGTGGGCTGAGCAAGCAGTATGGTTCCCCCACACTGAGACCCACACAGGCATCTCCTAGGCACCGGTGTGTTGATGTGTCCAAGAGCACATATGTTTCAGATTCTTGAAAATAGTGCCTGAGAAAAGTCAGTAGTCTGAGCTGGCTGTGAAGCAGAGGGTACTGAGGAAAGAGGAGGCTGACCTTGCTTCCTTGGTGTGGCTTTCAGTGGTACCAGTGGGACAGAGCTTCCACCCAGGTCTCTTGTGAGGTTGCTTAGAAGAGTGGTGCTGATAGAAGCAGATGTGTGAATGGTAGTGAAGGCAGAGTCAAGGCCAGGCTCCTCAGGGTACAAGGGTGCCCTCTGACTTGGCTGTTCCTGAGTGGTGGTTAGAAGCTAAGACATTTGATGAGGACAGGCCAGCTGTCTGCAGTCTATCGGGCAGTGTGATAGTCAAGTTCTGGAAGGCCTTAGTGGAGCTGATGGAAGGCAGGGAACAGCAGCTCACATAAACAGAGCCCTGTTCGTGGTGCCTTGGCAGTGGCCCAAGAGGCACGTGTATTGTCCTTGATGTATGGAAATTCTGGGGAGCTGCTTGCTCTGTGGCCATGTGAAACCTCAGAAAGAGCCCGGCTGACCATTTTCATCTTTTTCTCACTCTCTTCTGTGCTCCTTTCTCTGGCTGGCTGTGATTCTGTAATTCTTTCTGATTCATTCCAGCACAGTTCGCTGCTTTTCTGAAACAAAACATGCTGGTGAGGAAAGCTCTTCCTCCCGGCACCTCCTGTCTCGTTGGTGAGTATTGCTCTTTCTCTCACCTGCTCATCCTCCACTTTCTGCTGCCTCTCCCCACCTTTACTGCTCCACCTGTTTGGTCCTCCTGTCCCTTTTCTCTGCCTTCTTTTGCCTCCTGATTGTTTCAGTGACTCCCTTGCTCAAGAGGTCGGTGGATTCTGCTCTTGCATTTCTTTTTGCTTGCTTCTCATAGTGTTTTGCTTTTTCTCTCTCTTGCTGTGGTTCTCAGCTCTGCTTCTCCTTTGTATGACCATTGCCTGTGAGCCTGAGTTTCATTGTCTTGTCATCTCCTGCTTTGTTCTGTTTCCATCCTCGAAGCTGCAAGCACAACAGCTGCTTGTCTGTATGAAATTTTTCACTCCTGTCCCTGCTGCCTGCCTTTTTCCTCTGGTTGCAGCCTTCACACCTGTCCCAGGAGTAGTCCCTCAGCTGGTGATACCTGCACTGTGGCCTCAGGCCAGGAACCCTTTGTCCACCCTACCCCACCTTGCAGCCTTTCATGCCTGTGCTAAGAGGGTTGGGAACTCTGGCTCTAGAGGAGGGAACATCTGAGAGAGCCTGAAGAACATCTGGAGTCCCACAGACATGACCATTGGAGTCAATGGAGGGAGAAGCCTGAGTACACAGCCCTGAGCAAATGACCTGGGCCACTGCTACCCTGTTAATGCGAGCCATCATGAAGTCCTTGTGCCAATCCTCACTGCCTTCATTCATCATGCAGGCCCTCAGCCTTGGGCTCTTAGAGCAGGGGATTTCCTGAGAGCCCTGTGCAAAGTCTGTGCAGCTCTGGGTGGCCTGCTCCACTGGGGTGCTTTGTGCAATGTTCACTGCCACCAGCTGTGGGAAGACATGGGGAGTGCTTGCGATAGGAAGGCGGTCACATTCTGAGTCCAGGAGGACTGTGGTGAGCCTCTAGTCTGCCCTTGCCTCTGCTGGCGAGGGTCAGTGTGTCTTCCATCCCATTCCCACTGCACAAGGCCCTTGTGATTCTAGATCAGAGTGATAGATAAGAGTGACACCATCTGAGAAGGGCAAGGTGGGGTCACCACAGCGGGGCCCAAGCTGAGGCCGTGTGCCTGTGTGTCCCCTTATGCTGCCTTCTGGAGTATCATGTTTGGCTGTGGAAGATCTCATGTGTGCTCTGTCTCTTAGTTCCTATTTCCTCAGAGCCAGCAGAGGAGGTGGAGAAGGAGGAGCTGAGGGTCCAGCTGAAGCGGCACCACCCCTCTAGCCCTCTTCCTGGCAGCAAGGCCTCTAAGCGGCCCAAGATCAAAGTGTCACTCATCTCACAAGGGGATGTGGCTGGAGGGGCTCCAGAAGGTGAGTCTCATGGCTGTTGAGGAGAAGCAGCCTGGCTCTCCAGACACAGCACTGCTGTCATAGGTGCCTCTGTTCTTTGTGAGAGACTAAAGGGGGCAAGTGGCAGCCACCTAAAGGGAACAGAGCCAGCGTACAAGAGGTGCTGAGGGCCACTTAGCACCCTGTACTGCATTTTGTTTTTAGTTTCAGTGAAAGATAAGATACTCTAGGAAGCTTCAAAAATGGAAGGGGAAGGCAACCCCGGGTGCCCCTAATCTAACATGGCTGTTCTTTCTCCATTCTCTAGGTTCCATCTGTAATATGGTACCTTGTGCTTAGCCTGGGTTGTGGAAGTTGGAAAGGTAGGGGCCAAGCAGAATTGACTGTGACCTTGGCTTTCTGTTTTGCAGCTGCGGGAGGGAAGCCCATCACCATGACGCTGGGGCAGGCATCCTCGGGGGCCAAGGAGCTCACCGGGCTTCTCACCACAGCCAAGTGAGTCAGCCAGTTGGGCTGTCTGGTCCCTGCTTTCCCTTCAGCCCTTTCTGGCACATTAGTGCTTCCAGAAGGTGGTGGATTCTGGATTCTTCAGTTGGGAATGTGACTTCTCCCTAATTAGGACCTTTGTCTTTGATTAGGGTTCCCTGAGCATTCACTGTTAGGAAGAGTGGCAGTGTCATGCTGTAAGGACTGAGTTCTTCAGGTCTGACTTTTAGGACCAGAGGCCAGCTTCAGGAGTGGGTCAGAGAAACTGTGTCCAAGAAACTGTCCATTGCTAGGATCCTCCTTGGGCCTGTGGCAGCCCTCCCTGTATTGCTGGTGCCTGCTGCGTGCTGATCCTTGGGTGACAGCTCCTGTCTGTCTCCAGGTCGAATGCTTCTGAAGGCGGAATCACGGCTAGCCCCACCCCTGCAGGGTTCTCCAGCAGCACCTCACCCAGTGCCCTGCACACACTCCAGAGCCGCTTGGTGGCCACGTCTCCTGGCAGCTCCCTTCCAGGTATCTTGTCCCACAGTGTCCCCCAGCATAGTCATCTTGGTTTGCTGCTGGAGGGTGTACCTTGTTCCTCAATGGTGGCTGGTGGTTGTAGAGACTGACAAGAAGCCAGATGAGGGAATTCCTTAACCTTAATATCTGCAGGGATCAAATGTCCCTGTGTGCAGGGGCTCTGTCCTCTCCTGTAGGTACTGGGCATAGGAGTGGCAATGTCACTTGGTGTTGAGCACTTGCCTACCAGGTGCCAGGCCCTGGTTCCATCCCCAGCATGGAGATGAGGTAAGGGGAATATGGGTAAGGGTGAGAAATAGCTGGCGGGGATGTATCTTTGGGCTTGTATTTGGGGATTTTAAGCACTTCTGACTGAACACAACTGAAAACGGTGCTGTACTGCTCGTTAGCAGAATGAGCTGCTTTTCTGCTGTCCTGTCCCTCATTTTCTCAGACCCCTGCACAGAGAGCTGGTCACCTGGGCCCACAGGGCTAGGAACAGTGCAGAACTCCTCTCTTTCAAGACTGTGTGCAAGTGAAATTATCTAGAGGCTGTTGCCTTAAAAGGCTTTCCTCTTTGCTGGGAATAATGGAGATTTTAGATTTCTGAAGTGTAATTCAGAAATTCGTGGGTTTTCCCAGTACTGTCCAGAATGTGGGGCTGGTGTTTTGGACCAGGCTGAGATGTGCAGAGTGAATTTAAGGCTGGGTCTGTGTATTCGCTTCTGTGGCATCCCATGTGCTAGTGATGATGACCTCCCAGGGGCAACCAGGAGTCTTGGGCTGGGGCAGCTGGACCACATGTCCACCATGGGGGCCCTGTGCACAGTTTAGTGATGCCCATTGTGTTCTCTCCTAGGGGCCGCTTCAGCCAGCAGCCTCCTCCAAGGCCTCAGCTTCAGCCTACAGGATATCAGCGGCAAGAGCTCTGGCCTCCCTGCCACCCCCTCCTCAGGGCTGGCTACACAGGTGGGCTCCTGATTCTTCAGCACAGTTGGTTTTGGCAGGGAGATGGGCCTGGAGTCAGTCAGTCAAGGACAGCCAGGCAGGAGCTGCCGGTGAGGAAGGCCCATCACTTACTGTGGCCGAGGGCAGGTTTCTTGGCCTCTCCATCTTGTTCCCTTGTTGGTAAAATAAGGTAGTCATAGTAGCTTCCTCAAAGTTGTAAGGATCAAAGATGATGTATGCCAAGAGCCTGGCAGGAGACCTGGTCCGTGGCAGTGCATGTGAGCCTCTAGCAATGTGCTTCGGGCACTCCACACTTGGACACTGCTGCTGGATGGCAGCTTCTGATTGCTTTGGCTTGTGTGTCCCACAGGCCACCAGTGTGAAGCTGCCCACCCCCATGCAGAACCTGAGTGCCATCACCACGGGCACCAGCACCCTTGTCCGTACCATTCCAGTGGCCACCACACTCTCCTCCCTGGGCGCCACCCCTGGTGGGAAGCCCACAACCATCCACCAGCTGCTGACCAATGGGGGCCTCGCTAAGTTGGCAAGCAGCCTCCCTGGCCTGGCTCAGATCTCTAACCAAGCCTCAGGTGAGTCTGGAGAGAATGTGAGGACTCTAGATCAGGCATTCCTCGCAAACTCCCATTTTGTGTGGGCAAGGTCTGAACCCAACCCCACAGGTCCTGGGATTACCCTCAGATTCAGCTGTGTGGACTCAGCCCCCAGAGAGCCTTCAGAGACACAGGCTGGGTCCTACTGCCTTTTGGGGTTGCTGACTGGGTATGCATGACCCAGCTAGGAAAAGGCAAAGGGTGTGCCCCGTGGGGAAGACGCCTGGGGGGACAGTGGAGGCCATGCCCAAAACCATGCCCCCATCTCCCTCCCTCCTTCTGTCTCTCCCAGGTCTAAAGGTCCCCACCACCATAACTCTGACTCTCCGTGGCCAGCCAAGCAGGATCACCACACTGAGTCCCATGGGTTCAGGGGCAGCTGGACCTGAGGAGCCCATGTCCCAGGCGCTGCCCTCCAGCTCGCAGGTGAGCGACCTGGAGACCAGGGGAGCTTGGGTGGCCAGCAGCTGACTGGAGGAGCTGGTGCACACTGCTGCTGTCAACACACAGATTCAGATCCGCTCAGAGTTTGTATCTTTGGCACTTGAGCAAGTCAAGGGTCCCTTTGAGTCTCCTGCTCTGTGACACTTCCTGGGTGTCATGAGGATTAGATTTAGAAGTACTAGAGTGGGTAGTTGGCAGCCACAGTGCCTGGCTGCTTACCCTTTCCCTTCTCCATCACCCTGGATCATCATGTGGCACTGTGAGGAGGGGCTGCTCAGCTCATTCTCTGCCTAACACCTTCCCAGGTCAGTGTTGGTTGCTGTCTTTCTAGGGCACAGCTTGGTCTTTATACCCATCCCAGTAAGTCCCCATTGTGTCCTTTTACCTGTCATTGTGGGTTTGGTTTGTATTTTGTAGGTAGGGTCTCACTGTGTAGCCCAAGCCAGTCTTTACCTCCTGAGCCTCTTTCCTCAGGCTCTCAGATGCTGGAATTACAGGCATGTGTCTCCATCCCTAGCTCTACTATGCCCTTTTCAAGTAAAACGTTTCTCATCTTTAAAAAGTTCCAGCCCAATGGAATGGAGTGTGCTTTTCCCCAGGATGTGTGGGGCAGGGTGCTGTTCTTCCCTCCAGGCCAGCCTGCCCAGATACCACTGGTGAGTGACAGTTCCAAGCCACTCCATGGGCCCTTTGTCACTTCTGCTTTAGGGGAAAGTGCTGAGATTGATGCCTGACATTTGTTGAGATCATAGTGACATCTTTTTGCAGAGGACTGGAAGTGTTTTTATTTTACTAATTTTTTTTTGGCAGGGGGGGTTTGAGACATGGTTTCACTATGTAGTTGAGACTGACCTGGACCTCACTCTGTAGCCCAAGCTGGTCTTGAACTCACAGCGATCCTCTTGCCTCAGCCTTCCAAGTGCTGGGATTACAGGCATGTGCCACCATGCCTGGCTTATTTTACTAATTTTTTCAACTGCAAAAGCAGTTGTGCTTGCTTTAAATTGTTCAATCACTGCAGAAATAATTAATTTAGAATAAAAAATTTCCACTATGCTGTTCCCAGAGATGGTGCCTACTATAATAATTGATATGGGTACTTGCAGATTTTCTGCATAGAACATAATTTGTTTTAGACAAGAAACAGTTCACACAAGGTATGAGTTATTTTGTAACTAACTTTTGTTTATAAGTCATGTTTGTGACATGCTTCTCTGTTGGTGACATGGAGCCCTGACTTTTTTCAGAAGCAAGCTAGTGTTTCACTGCACAAATTTATGAAAACCTGTCTCACCCTTCCTCCTTGATGTAACGGTTGGGATGTTTTGTGTTTTGGTACTGTGCACAGCTTTGTTTGTGATTTTGTGACCTTCTAGAAGTACTTCTATAAGCTAGAGAGAGTAGGTGGAGGGTATGTGCCTTGAACTCGCCCTGCTGCTAGCTGTCTTTTTACCCACAGTAATGAGAACATCTTGTATAATGTTCATTTTTTTCCTATTTTTAATATCCTATGTCTTTGATGAATTACTTATCATATTCTTTTTTTTTTTTTTTTTAAGCTTTTGAGACAGGATCTCGCTGTATAGTCTAGGCTGGTCTTGAACCCAGTGTGTACCCTAGGATGGCCTCACACTAATGGCCATCCTCCTTCCTCAGCTCCTGCCTCAGCCTCCCGAGTGCTGGGATTACAGGTGTGTGCCACCACTCCCAGCTGCTTGTCATATTCCTTATTTGACAGGGAGTAATTTCTATTTTTGGATCGTCGGTTCTTTGCATATTTAAAGTTTTTATGTACTAAAGTGAAATGGGTAGTTATTTTTTCTCGTACTGTAATGCAGTTCAGCAGTATAGAAATGCTGCTTTCCTTGGTTTGGTAGAAGTGACCTCCAAGGCCATTTGGGCCCGTGTTAGGCCATCTTCACCTTTAACAGTGCCACATTGATACACAGCTAAAACCCAGGTCCCCTGCTGGTGCCACTTTCTCAGTAGTGGGTGGTCTTATGTGGCCTGCTGGGCCAGGGGGCTGGGGAGTGACAGAAGAGAGTAGAGCCTTGTCTCCCAGGGCTAAATCAAGGCACAGGGTATAGATCAAGCTTTGGTCTTCTGCCTGATGGTGCTGACTCTGGGTTCATTTGCCTGTGGGTAAAATGGGTGTGTGACTGACTGTAGGAAGGTCCAGGGTCGGTGGTGGGCCTCTTCTTGTAGTCAAGGGCATTTTTCCTAAGGTTTCAGCAGTCACCTCGTGTGCACACTGCAGACAGTGGTATTGAGGAGAGGTGCAGAATGGTCGGGCAGGCCATCCTTTTCTGGCTGGCTGTGTTGTCCCACATAAATCACCTGACCTCTCTGGACTTTGGTTTTCTTATGCAGTTCAGTGGCTTAAATCAGTGACTCTTGTGCTCACTTCGGCAACACATATACTAAAATCAGTGACTCTTGTGCTTAGTAGGAGCTCAGTGTCTCCTCAGGCTTTGGAAACAAATGTTTGCAGACTGAAAAATCACCCATTTTTGGCATGTATTAGTTGAATATATAAACACTTGATATTAAGAAATTGTTAATCTTCTATGTGTGATAATGGCTTTGCATTTAAATTTTAATAATCCTTTTTTACTTTGGAGTTACCTACTATATTTCTACATGGAATGAACTTGAAAAGGACTAAGCTAGCTGTAGTGGCATCTCCCTGCAATTCCAGCTGCTTAAGAGGCTGAAGCAAGAGGATCACAAACTGGACGCCAGCATGGGCAGCTTAGTGAAACCTTGTCTCAAAAAATAAAAGGGCTGAGGATGTAGCTCAGTGGTAGAGTACCCTTGGGTTTGATCTTCAGTACCAAAAAGAAAAGAGGGTCCAGGGATTTAGCTCTTCTGTAAGGTCTTCTGGCACTCTTCAAGACTCACTGGTCCATTCCTCTGCTTTCACTTCCTGTCCTCATTCGTGAGAGCCGACCTTTGTGGCTGAGCACATAGTGTATCCTAGGTGCTTTCTGTGTGCAGGCTGACTCACTTAATCTTCACGACTGCCCTGGGAAGTAGTAGCTGTCGCCTTTGTCCCACTGGTGAGGAGAAGGAGCCCAGGGGCTGCTTGTCCTGAAGCTAGGGCACCTCTGACCCAAGAGTCCATGTTCCCACAGTCACATGGTTGCCAGGAACATGTCTTCTGTGTCTGGCTGTGTCCCTGTTGGGGTCCATTCTGTGCACATTCTCATGATGGGGTACAGAGTCAGAGGGTTGGGATGTGGGAGCCTGCAAAGCTCTGATTTTTGCTCATTGCTTCTCCCGCCACAGCGCCTGCCTCCTGCACCCTGAAGAAGCCATGCAGTGTGTCCTCCTTACCAGGTGGTGATGGCTGTCTCACAGTGGCTGTAGGCACGTGTGTATCCTGCTGAGCTGTCTGAGTGTCTGAAGACCTCTTTATAGCAGTCGTTTTGCCTCTGCCAGCTGTCTTCAGGGTCAGGCCTCTGGGTGTCGAGCAGCCATGTGGCCGGGTGACATGGAACCGAAAAGGAGGCAAAGGAAGCAGCGCCCTCCAGCATCTGCACTCTAGTTCCTGGAACACCCAGCCTCCTCTCAGATCCAGTGCTTGTGTACCAGAGGCAGTTCTTCCTCATGGTGATGATTGACCAGGCGTTGTCGGACTACTCATGATGTCTAATAAAGGAGCCTCCTTTCTACAGTCTGTCCTTCCTGTGCCCATCTGGAGGAGAGGGTCAGACTATCTGGGGCTGAAGAAGATCGGGATCATCCTGGCCTACTGGCAGGTCAGAGAGCTGTTGTGGCCGTCTCTGTCGCTTCACCACGGAGCCAAGGAAACTTTAGAAACTGCACTACCTACAGAGTATCCTGCTAGGAGATCCCAGATGGAGGCAAAGAAAACTGGCGCATCGTCTCTCCATCTCTTGGCCATTTTAGGATGTGGGGAGCAGCGGTCTCCACAAGGTGAGAGCTGGCCCCTTCCTCTTTTCATCATGCCTTGGGCAGTTCCTGCTCCCGGAGAGCCTGCGCGGCTGAAGAGGAGAAATGAAGTGCCTGGTGGCACAGACAATTTGAGCTTGGGGCTGTGTATCTGGCCTCTGAGGACCTGGTGATTAGCTAGAGATGAGAAGCAGAATTTGCCAAGTCAGGGAAACTGCAAACCCTGATGGCCCTGTGTCCAGGGCAGGGATGAAGCAGGGCCAGCAGCTAAGGTGATATCTTGGCCTTGGTTCTGGAGAGCCTGAGCATCAGGACGATGAAGACTGAGCTCCATTGTTTCTGTTCACGTGACTTCTCGCTTCCTGCCTAGAGGTGGGGAGATTGATGGTGGCTATTCTGCTGTGCAGTGCTCTTGGTGCCAGCCTGAGTCCTACGGGCCATGGTCCTAATGAAAGGCTTCTTGGGGATGGCGCGCTGAGGCCCTCCCGACCTCCTCACAGGGCATGTGTGCAATGTGGTATGGGATTCTGAGCCGCACTTGTGCTCCAAGCTCAGGCTCCCTTCCCTTCCATCCTTAGAGTGTTTCCCGTCAGAGTGATAAACAAGGCACCTTGAGTGTGACTTTTAAGTCCAGGGTTCTGACCCCCAGGGTGGCCTGCATCCAGACCAGGCCAGCAGATCAGTCCTGCCAGAAGGGGCACACTGTGCTTGGCAGTCATAGACAAGGCAGTTTGGGGGTGTATGTGATGGGAGTGGAGAGGGTTCCCTAAACCCTGGGCCCTTTCCCTTACCTCCTGCTCTGATTCACACAGAATTGGACTATATTTTTGCATTAGCTGGTAGGTTATTTCAGAAGACATCTTAATAAATTTACGGAAGATGTGGAATCTGAAAGGCATATGGGGCTTGGTGTTGACAGCTTTACAGGCAGGATCAGAACACAGCAAAAGAGCAGTAAAGCGAAGCCCTGTGAAGCCCTGAGGACAAGTGGAGGGTCCCGAACACCCTCACAACTGAGCAGCACAGCCTAGACCACTCGGGCTGCTCTTGGAGGACACTGGCCTAGGTGTACTGGTACCAGAGAGCCTCACGAGCCGGCCTGCCTTTGTGCTGTCCTCCATGTGCCTTGTGGGTTACTGCTGACTAAAACTGGAGAGTGAGCTCTGAGAACACTGATCTGCACCACGGCAGAGCCAGCCAGTGGCGGAAAGGTGGAAATCTGTAGTGTTTACCCCCTAGCCATGTCTTCCCCTTCCCACTGTGTCTCTGCCTATCTCATAGCAGTCTTGGAGGCCATGAGCTCAGAAGGTCCTGGCAGGAAACAGAAGGATCAAGAAGGCTTTAAATTCTTGGACAACAGGGGTGTGTTGCTGCCCTTAGATGTCTTTGGAGGAGGTCGCTGAGGGGCAAAGACCTGCCTCCAAGTGGTCCACCACCAGAATAGTCTTGGCTGGAGCTGACCTGCTGTGTTCTCACTTAGCAGAAACAATTAAAAACGCCCAAACTAACCCTTTTGTTTATTTTCATTTGACTTCACATGTTTGTTCTGGATACCTCACAGTCAGTGGGCACAGAAAACAGTTAAACAGAAAACAGTTAAAATAATAGTGTGATGCCAGTGGTGGTCTCACCAAGCTCAGGTGCTGTCGGGTGGGTACTGTGTTTCCCTTTTTACCTGTGAGGAAATGCACAGAGAAGTCACACAGCAGGCAGTGGCAGAGGAGGACTGGAACCCAGGTGGTCAGATGGCTGCCTTGCTCTGCTTTGTGCTAGGGTCCTAAGATGACGACCAGCGTACATATGAGCCCAGAATAGGTGTCAGCTTAACCTCAGTGTGACCCTTCTCACATTATTTCCCCAAGGCCAGGAGCAACAGCTGCTGCTCCCATGGGGTTCTTCACTGGCCCTGAGTCTGGGAGTCCCAAGTCCTTGGTCCTGGGAGACTCCTGTCCCTTTGCATGTTCTATGCGCACACCCCAGCCCCCAGTAAATAAGTCTTAGAAATGGATGGGTGGATCCCAGCCTCCAGGCTGCTTGTGATCATGTACAGACGTCCTCATTTAATGACTGAGTTCCTTTCCCTAGAGTAGGTTAATTGGTCACTAAATGAGGAAGTGTATACTACGTTACAATATTCAGAAGAAGGAAATGGTCGAAGGAAACTCCAGGTTGATGACTTCCATGCCAGTACTGTGATGTAGAACAGAACAAATCTACAGTACTGTACTATACAGCACCATCAACAGGAATCAGCGCTGTACTGTAGAAGCCACAAGGCCACGCTGCTGTTCACATTTCTGTGTTAATCTGAATGTGGGTCATAAGTCCAAACTGGCATTAGCCAGGTTTGTCACTGAATGAGGAACAAATGTATCCAGGAGAACCTTCTCATCTTTAAATGCCTGAGCCCCGAGCTTGGCATTGGCACCCTCCGGTGGAGGCTGGAGCTGTGGGAGGGAACCCTCCTTAGTACTTAACGCCCACTCCTTCCTTCACCCATCTTAACCAGCTTCCATGAGTCAAAGCAAGACAGCGAAGGCTTAGGTTGTGTAAATGACAGCTGTCTTCAGGAGGGCAGGAGCTGGGCCACAGAAACTTAAGATGCAACAGGCCTTTGTCAGTTATTCGCGGTAAACATAGCTGGAACAGGACGCGCTTTCAGGTGTTCTGTGGATTGGCACCTCTGCATCTGCCACGTGCTTCGTGTCTACTGACCGACCTGAAGGGTCCAGTTTTGATCCTGTTTTCAGGACATGCCAGCCAGAGTACTTAGTGGATGGCTGGTCCCTGTTCAGATTCAAAAATCATTCTGATTGACTGGAACTCACTACAGACTGGTTCTTGGCCTTCCCACTGGTCCAGTGGGAGTTTCCAGAGGAGGAGGTCACGTGGTTCCTGTTACCTTCCTAAGAGGTAAAGAGACCATACACACAACATGACAACTACTGGGTTAACTAAACGTGGTGTCACAGAGGTCATATAGAGATGCTCTGCATACCCTTGCTGAGTCCCATACCTGTTGCCTAATCTCAGAGAACTAGTACAGCATCAGTCAGGGACTGGCATTGCTACAGCATATGTCATAGTGAGGCAGGCGGTGGTAACACGGAGCTAAATCCCCTGCCAGCGTATGTCATTGTGACCCCACAGCCACCACCAAGATGCAGGTTGTTCCATCAGCCCAGGGTCTCCCTTGCACTAGTCCTTGGTCACTCCCATGCCCGTGCTGCCATTCTGAACCCACAGCAACTGCCCATCTGTGCTACATCTCAGAACGGTGCAGAAATAGAATTGTATAGTATGTGACATTTTCAGGGCTTTCCCACCCACATAATTCCCTGAATGTCCAAGTTGTGCACATCCATAGTTCATTCTGTTTATTGCTGATGCTGTTCATGACAGGGTTATGTCTGTTGCCTGTTGGATGTTTTGACTGTTTCAAAGGTTTTTTGTTTTTGGTGAAGCTTATAGCTCAAGCTTCTGTCTCATTCTCTCAGAGTTCTAGGATAACAGGCATATGCCACCATGCCCAGCCCTGTTTCCGGTTTTGAGCTATTATGGAAAAAAAGCTGTCATGAACTATTATATGTAGATTTTTGTGTTTTCATTTCTCCAGAACATGTACTCAGGAATGTAATTACTCCTATGGTAAATTTTTAGGTTTTGAGAGGTTTGGGGTATTTTTGTTTTTTTGTGTGCCCCCCCACACCCTGTACTGGGGATCAAACTCAGGACCTTGTGCTTGCCAGGCAGGTGTGGTAACTCTGAGCTATATCCCCATTTTTTTGTTTTGTTTTTTGTGGTTTTTTGAGACAGTATCTCACTATGTAGTTCAGGCTGCCTTGAACTCAACATGTAGCCTAGGATGGCCTCAAACTCATGGTAGTTCTGCCTCAGCCTCCCAAGTGGTGGAATTATAAGGATGTACTATCACACCTGGCAATTCTATATATCCTTGTTTTCTGTCAAGTTATTAATCACCAACTATAATTTTGGAATTGTTTATGTCTTGTTTCATTTCTTTTTTTTCAGTACTGGAACTTGAACTCAGGACCTTGTTGCTTGCACTTGCCAGGCAGGCACGGTGCTGCTGAGCTACTTCCCTGGCCCCCTCATTTCATTTCTATTAGTTTATGCTTCATGTATTTTGCATTTCTGTTACTTGGTATGTACACCTTTGAAATTCCTGTGTCTTTTTGGTGAATCAACCCATTTATCATTATATAATGTCCCTCTCTGTCCTTGTTAATTTTTTTGCTCTGACGCCTATTTTATCTGATATTTATATAGCTACCTTTGTTTGCTTTATTTTATGTCATTTATTTGGGCCTTGGGCCTTGTGCATACTAGCTGTGTTTTACTACTGGGCTATACACAGCCCTTCTTGCTTTTTTTTTTTTTTTTTTTTTTTTTTTTTTTTTTTTTTTTTTTTTTTTTTTTTTTTAATTCTCTTGCTTTCAACCTACCTATATCATTACATCAGAAGTGATTTTCTTGTAGACAGGCTACATTTAGCATGTGATTTTTTTTCTCTGCCAACCTCTTAATTCATGTTTTTAGACTTTTTCTATTATATGTAATTATAGATGTTTTAGGGCTTAAGTCTGCCATTTTAGTTTCTGTTCTGTTTTGTATTGTTCTTTTACCTACCTGCATGGGTTATTGCATATTTTTTAGACAATAATTTTGATTTTTTTCCCATAGTGTTTTTGAGTTTTCTGCAGTGGTTGCTCTAAAGTACAGTTATATATACCTAATTTTACTCAGTGGGTTGTTCTCCACGTTCCCCTCTTCCACTTCTCATATGATCGCACACTTGCAGAACCCAATTAGTATTCAAGTCTTGCTTCAAGCTTAAGTCGATAGCCGAGGGGCCGGGGATTTAGCTCAGCGGTTTGGTGGCCTGCCTTGCAAGCGCAAGGACCCGAGTTCAATCTCCGGTACCAAAAAACCCCACGAAAAAAAAAAAAGTCGATAGCCGGGCATGGTGGTGCATGCCTGTAATCCCAGCACTCAGGAGGCTGAAGCAGGAGGATTGCTGTGAGTTCGAGACAACCCTGGGCTACATAATGAGTTCCAGATCAGTCTGAACTACGTAGTGAGACCCTGTCTCAAAAAACCAATATAAATAAATAAGTTTTTTAAAAGTTGAGAAAAAATCTACTATAGTCAGTTTTTTCCTTCACCTGAAAATGTCTTCATTTTGCTTTAATTACTAAAGGATAGTTGTTCTGGATATAAAATTCAGAATTGATCATTCTTATAGCATTTAAAAAATACATTTAGTTTTTTATGAGAAATTTGCCATCATTCAAGTTGGTTTTCCCCTAATAGGTAAGGTGGTGTTTCTCTGTTTTTGTTTTATTTTTTAACTTAAGTTTTCAGATCTAACTGTGAACTGTCTTGGCTTTGATTTCTTTAGTTTGTAGAGTTCTCTCAGCTTCTTGACTCTGTAGACTTTAGGTCCCCACTGGTGCCAGTTTGGTGGGGATGGTGCCCAGCCTCACCTGTGCTTCCTGTGGGTGCTGTGAAGCAGGGGAGGCATAGAGCCCTCTAAAGGCAAAGTCTTTTTTTTTTTCCCCCTTCCTGAGACAGGGCCTTGCTATGCAATTCAGGCTGCCTTGAACTCACTATGTAGCCCAGGTTGGCCTCAAACTCGCAGCAATCCTGCCACCTCTGCCTGCCAACTGGCTCCCTTCTACTAGGATGACAGCTGGCCCACAGTGTCTCCTCCAGTGGTACTACTGCTGAGGAGGAAGCCACTGTACCAGCCTTGGGCGGGCGGGAGAGTCGTTTCTGTCCCATGGACTCCCACCTGGCAACATGGCTGAGTGGAGGGTCTGTCCCACCATCTGCCTGGGCCAAGCTGCTCCAGTGGGCTCCAGGAAGATGCGATGGGTTCCGTGCACCACTGGCCCATCGTCACAGCCTACGCCATGGGGCTTTCTAGTCCCCTGGTGCCTGTCCTGAGAAGTTCGCCCACTATTTCCCCGCCCCGCCTCCTTACCAGTATTCATGCAGCCCCAATCATGCATCTGTCCTGTCCATCTCACACTTGAAAGCCAGCCAGACCACCCAAAGTCCTGCCCGGTGGGGAGACCTGTTTATCAGTCCTGCAGAGTCACCTCTGAGAGAAAGGTAATGTCGCAGCCATCCCCCTCCTGTGAGGGTTGCTGCAGGTAGCCCGACCTGCAGATCGGCCTATAGGATTTCCTCCGTGCAGCTGGTTATAAGGACACTCTGGGGCACAGGTGACGCCTGAGAAGAGGAGGAAAGAGTCGAGGGTACCTGTGTGTGGGGGGTCTCTGTGTTTGTGTCTTCTGGGCCTGCTCAGTCTAGCCCTCCTGTCTGCTGCACAGGTCTAACCTGTCTAGGCAGGTCAAATAATTCTAAATTTATAATGAGCTGCCCAGCTCACATGGCCACTTTCTATCTCATGGTTAAATGACCATTGTTCTCTAGAGGCCAGTGGAAAATCAGGATGTTTTCAGGTGGATCTGGTTATCTG